GGGTGGTGCGCGCCGGGGGCCCCCCCAGCCGCAGCGTCCCCCGGGGGGGAGAGGCGACAAGGGTTCTGGTCCTGTGCCCCTCCGGCCTCGTGTCGGGAGGAGTCGGGCCACTGGCCCGCGCTTTGCTGGGTGCCAGACGGGCCCGTCAGGCGCAGAGCCGGGTGGGCTTCCCAGTTCCTGAGGCCAAGCAGAAAATCACTTGCAGGTTTGGGGTCTGCGCCCCACACCGGGTCCTGTTTGCAGCCCATGGGCTGTGGTGCAGAGGATCGTGTGGCAGGAGTACGTCCAAAGCCACCCCAACCTCCACGCACCTCAGCAGAGCTTCCCCACCAGTTCACCCATTGCCACCAGCACGCGTTGCTTACCGGCTGAGGTTTGTCACGGTAAACCCAGTCCGGCATTTCTGCCAGCCGGTGCGCCAGGGGTTCAGGGCCCGCTCCCGCAGCCCCCCCCCCCATTCTCTGCCCAAGTCTCGGATCCGCTGAGACTGCCCCCCGCTTCGTCCCGGCGGTACAACAGCGCACGTCTCGCCTGTTCGCTCACGCCTTCACGGCTTTTTCCCCTCTCCGCAGGTGCTGCCATTGCTGGAGTTTACAGAGCTGCGGGGAAAAAGATGATTCCCTTTGAAGCCCTCATTTTAGGAGTGGGCCAGACATTCTGCGTGGTGGTGGTTTCCTTTCTACGCATTTTAGCCACTCTCTAGCTCTTCCTCAGACGCTGGAGATCGCAAATCGAAGGAAGAGTGAAGGCTCTGCCGCCTGCGCCGTCTCCAAAGTGAATCACAAGCGAGCGCAACTCGAGGCGTGCCCCGGCGTGTGCTGCTCCACTGGTTAAAGGCCATGTGAAGGCCTGCTCCTGCCTCCAGCGTGGCTTGAAATTAATATTGCGAATCTTGTTACTTTTTGGTAACATTAAGTGCCAAGTGAAACTTTATTTCTCTGGAGGGTAGGAAAATGGCTTCCGGAGGAGGAGGCCCACGTACCTTTGACCAGTGATGAACTGTAGCCACAGGACGCAACTAAGATGGGACATGAGCTGTTCCGGGGTAGAAACAGTACTGCAGAGTGGCGTGATGTCTTCGGAGCTCACTTAACGCTTTGACCTCTTGCTGCTTTGTTTGCGGTGAACCTGGAGCTCTTTTAATGTGAATTTTTTAAATGAGAAATTTTAATTTGTTTTCTTCCTGGCCCCAACTTTCTAATACCAGGCATTGGTCATAGTGAATTTGGGAGCAGCAAAGGGAAAAAATCATTTCAGATGGATGAAAGCGCAAATCTGTGGCTGAGAGCTGTGACTACAAACGCTGCGGCAGGGGAAAAAACAGAAGTTAAAAAAAAAAAATTGCTGTTTTTGTGAATTTTATTATGGTGAAGCTCTCCTGGCACTGTGCACCTTCTGCCCCAGAGGCGACGCGCAGCTGGCCGGGCGCTGCGCCCCG